TGGTCTGGTCACTCAGGGAACAGAAAACTACTCATCCAGTGACCAGTATATTTGCCCTCTACCAGACTCCTGTACCCCACTGGTCTGGATCTGTCACACAAAGCATGGCCTCAAAGACATCTCCTTAGTCACAACGTTCTCTTAAAGGGCTCACTGCTCCCGTGGTACAGGGGAGCATATTGGAAAAGCATGGCCAGTGCTCCATCCTGCCCTAACTTTCATTGTCCAATAATAATTGAGAACCACAACAAAGATCAGACAGAAGAAGGAAAATTTACCAGAATGCCTGGAGTGTGACCACAACTCCTAAAAAGCCAACCTAATGGGATGGGAAGAGCATTGTGATGGAGTCACTCTCTGGTTTTCAGTGTTACAGCTTGTGACTGTGGCAGGGGTGTTGTTTTCTCCTCACTTGGAGAAAATAGCAAGAAAATGAAAAGTCACAAAATCTTAAAGTGAGATAATTCAAAATCATTCATTTTTGTGATTACTCCATTACTTTGAAATCAGAAGAGGCTGGAGACTGATTTTGGTTTCAGATCCTTAAGAAACCAGCAATTGAAGGAACTAGCCCAGCAGCTCCTTGCATTTCTTTCCCCTCATGAATGGTAGGCTGCTTACAAAAACAGTTTAAAGAAATGAGAGAGCAACAACTCCAGCGGGACCTATCCTCTCGTTGTTTTTCCTCCATACCTCTGCACATTCTAATGCACGCTGTCCTATAAATGCCTCAGTGTGATCCTGGTGATGCAATAATGGGGGAAACCAAGGACAGAGCGGAGAGGAGCCCTGTTTCAGGCAGGCTGGCCCTGGGGAGTGCTACAGAGATCCACCTGCTGTGTGAGAGTGAGAGAGCAATGCTAAAAAAGAACCTAAGGGAAAACTGCCAGAAAGGTGCAGGGCAGGGAAGAGATGAACCCATCCAAAGGCCTGAGAAAACAAGGTTTCTACTTTGCCCAGGAATAGCTGGGGTCCCAGTGCCAGAACAGAAAATGGAGGGAAAGCCTGCTGCTGAAGGGCAGGACAGGGGAGATGAACCCTCCCCACCAGTGGCTGAGAGACAAACAGCAGCGATGTCTCCTCCACAGACCTTGGAGACTGCAGGGCTAGAAAAGGGCTTAGCGGGGAGGGAGGCCTCCAGGAGCTGGCCAGTCTGCTAACAAGAGTAGGTTGCTGAGAAATCAGGCAGGTTTCCAGGGCCCTGGTTTTCCAGTGAAGAGAGAGTGTTGGCTCCCTGAACAGAGGTACAGGGAAGACTAGGACCCTAGGCATCCAGCACCTAGTGTAGCCAATTACTTCATTTTATCACTATTTATTCTGTGTTGTGTAATGTTATGATTAACTAACATGCTATGTCATATATGCTAAATAGATGTAAATTGTAGGATTATAGAAGTATAAGACTGATCAGTAGTCAGATGCAATAAGTATGCATTAAGTATCTATGAAGGGCTAAAACACAAGGCCCACAGGCTGAGGCCTGTAAGATGTCAGAGTAGCCATACTAGGCCATTGGCTTAAGAAAGACTTGACATAAGTAAGCAACCAAAGAATGACCCGATGCTACAAGATTACGCAAAAAGATGTACCAGTGGGTGGTATTGCAAAAAATTAACCATAAGAGTAATTTTGACTATAAGATACCCAATAGTCACATTTTTCTAACACATACAGATGCGCAGAGTGTTAAGTGTAGTCAGAATCACAAGATAAACGAGGGCTCCCAGATTGGGTAAAATGAGTTCCCTAGGGGAAAAATCCAGCAGGAACCATCCCTCTACTGATGATCAATTTACAAGCCATCCATCAAACCCAAAGAATATCGCTAAGGATGTGAGTATGAATATATCTGTAATTTGTGCACAAGTCTTTATAGGACTTCTATATGCTTGGGTAATCATAATCCTAATTAAACCTTTAATAAACCTTGTAAACCACAGTAGACCTTGTACTTGTGAAGGTCACTATTCTTTGTCTTTATGTGTTCCTAGAAACTCTAAGTCTGAAACAAGTAGCAGAGGTGACTTTCACTCTGTTGATCTTGAAACTGTAATCACAAGAGCTGAACCTACAATGGTGTAATACAACATTACTAAATTCACTTAAAATAAAATAGAATAGGCTACATTAGAGATGTGAATTGCATTGTTCATATGGGAAGAGACTTGGACTACAGGAGGCTGAGGGACACTGGAGGGGGCAGCTGAGTCTGGAATGGTAGGAGTAGCAGAATAAATACCCACCATTACAGGGTTGCCAGCTCTCATGAATTTATCGCAAGTCTTACAATATTTGGTGTTTTTGTTAAAAGCCCCGCTCCTGTCATTGGGAGGATCTCAGCTCTCATTGTGGGGAGGCGGGAGAGTAAATTCTTAGAATCATAGAATATTAGGGTTGGAAGAGACCTCAGGAGGTCATCTAGTCCAATCCCCTGCTCAAAGCAGGACCAACACCAACTAAATCATCCCAGCCAGGGCTTTGTCAAGCCAGGCCTTAAGGCTGGAGATTCCACCACCTCCTTAGGTAACCCATTCCAGTGCTTCATCACCCTCCTAGTGAAATAGTGTTTCCTGATAACCAACCTAGACCTCCCCCATAGCAACTTGAGACCGTTGTTTCTTGTTCTGTCATCTGCCACCACTGAGAACAGCCGAGATCCATCCTATTTGGAACCTCCCTTCAGGTAGTTGAAGGTTGCTATCAAATCCCCACTCACTCTTCTCTTCTGCAGACTAAATAACCCCAGTTCCCTCAGCCTCTCCTCGTAAGTCATGTGCCCCAGCCCCCTAATCCTTTTCATTGCCCTTCGCTGGACTCTCTCCAATTTGTCCACATCCTTTCTGTAATGGGGGGGACCAAAACTGGACACAATACTCCAGGTGTGGCCTCACCAGTGCTGAATAGAGGGGAATAATCACTTCCCTCGATCTGCTGGCAATGCTCCTACTACTACAGTCCAATATGCCATTGGCCTTCTTGGCAACAAGGGCATACTGCTACCTCATATCCAGCTTCTCGTCCACTGTAATCCCCAGGTCCTTTTCTGCAGAACTGCTGCTTAGCCAGTCGGTCCCCAGCCTTCCTAAGTGCAAGACTCTGCACTTGTCCTTGTTGAACCTCCTCAGATCTCTTTTGGCCCAATCCTCCAATTTGTCTAGGTCACTCTGGACCTTATTCTTACCTTCCAGCATATCTACCTCTCCCCCCCCCCCATTTTAGTGTCATCTGCGAACTTGCTAAGGGTGCAATTAATCCCATCATCCAGACGTTGAACAAAACTGGTCCCAGGACTGACCCCTGGGGCACTCCGCTTGAAACCAACTAGACGTCGAGCCATTGATCACTACCCGTTGAGCCCGACAATCTAGCCAGCTTTCTATTCACCTTATAGTCCTTTCATCTAATCCATACTTTTAACCTGCTGGCAAGAATACTTTGCTAAAGTTAAGATACATCACATCCACGGCTTCCCCCTTTTCCTCAGAACCAGTTATCTAATCATAGAAGGCAATCAGGTTGGTCTTGACTTACCCTTGGTGAATCCATGTTGACTGTTCCTGATCACCTTCCTCTCCTCCAAGTGCTTCTAAATGGATTCCTTGAGGACCTTAGCCCTCATGGTTGCACAGAAAAGCTTGAAAACCTGATCTGCACACATAGGGGTGCTGAAAATAGGGGTGCTGCTTGAGGTAGTAACAACAACCCAAATACATGGTTTCCGCCTTCAGCACCCCCACTATAAAAACTGTTCCAGCACCACTGCCTGAACATAAGCTAAAGACTCAGAAACCAGAAGATAAGGGGGAACCCATGATTTTTAGGGCCTGATTTATAAATTTAGGAATCCTTAGCATTGGCAATATTGGACTTAGCAGAACCAGGGCTGTCTGGAAGACC